TTGCTTATGATCAAAAATTATTAGTCTCCAAAATGAAAGGTGATAATCAAGTCAAAGTTACCAGAATATCTTCATCTGATCAATTAGCAGATGCATTTACCAAACCTTTATGTAAAATTAAATTAAATGTATTTACTTCACGTATGTTTAGCCAGAAGGATGTGTTAAATGATATTGGCTAAGCATACGTGCTTTTTGTATGGCACATAGCCACTGTATATAAAAACACTATTATATTCAAATAAAGTTCATTGTTATTTTCTACAAAATTTACATGGAACAACCGCCTGGTTTTGTACAAAATGAAAATCTGGTTTGTCGTTTATATAAAGGCTTGTATGGTTTGAAACAGGCTCCACGAGCTTGGAATAAGCTATTCGATCAAGTGTTGTGAAACGGCTTAGTTTAGCTGTGTTCTATTATTCAATTATGGAATTTTTACAATTCTCCTTTCGAGCATAAATATTCGATGTTATGCTATTATTTTTACCATTGTTTCTTCTCTGTTTTTTCCTCACGAATATACTCAATATTATTAAAACCATATTTGTTATAAACCTTTCTTACGCTTACGTCATCTGTTTCTCTCCGTGGTTTTACAATCAAGTGATTAAGAATATTGGTTTTGTGTCATCGTCATTTGATCCATGTCTATATGTTAAGTTTGTCGGCAATATCAACGCCACCCATATTCGCGGTATAGTCCAAAACCATTTTTGGTTTATCGATTGATACAACATTTCCACCGCGTAATATTCTGCGGGTACTTTTCATCGTTGTATGAGTAGTGGTAGTTGCTGAGCATCGTTACGATTCTCTTATCTTTCCAAGCAAGAAGCAAGTTTTAAATTAATATCTAGAGATTCATGATGATATTTTTTGATTTGTTGTCAATAATCCATAGATTAAATGAAATTTCATTTTTTGTTATTTGGGCCACATTTTCTTCAAAATTTATCTTAAAACCACCTTCAATCAATTATCGAACAGATATCAAATTTGAACTGAAACCTCCATAGGCCACATATTTCAATTTGGTTTTGGTTCAATAACAACATTACCAATTTTTCTCTGATGTAATTGTATTACCATTAGCCAATTCAAATTCAATCTGTTTATCTTCTTGATCCATAAGTAAATTTTTATCAATCGTTGTATGAGAAGTACATCCAGAATCAAGTATCCAGATATCTGATAATTTTTCAGCACATTTCAACATCAACGATTTTGCAGCTTTCTTCTCTTTTTTGTTATTTGATTTTGTGAAAATGATGAGCTAGAAGAAGATTTATCATTCGATGATGTTGATGGAGAAACTTCTGTTTTATTGGAATCAATTTTTCGTTTTGTCCAACATCCTTCAACTTTATGTCCAATTTTATGGCGAAATGGGCATTTTATATTATTTTTAAACTTTTTTTGAGATTGAAATTTGGCCTTTTCATCATATTCAATGAATTCATTCATGATGTTGTTCATTGTACCATTCTGGTTCATCATAATTCAATCAGCCAATTGTTCAAATTTTGAATTTGATCGTAACATGCTCATAATAATCACGCAAGATGTTTATCAGTGTATTTACACGATTCTGATTCAATCGATTCAAATTTGACAATAACCTTGTTCTCAAAGAACTACTTTTATATGAACATTGGCTCGCTTCAGTAAAATCAGCATTTCGAAGTTGTGGTAAATAGATCAATAGATTTCAAACTATGTTGTAAATTTTGAACCGGAATTTTAATTTGTCTTTGCTCAATATCCATAATCGATGTGGTTATGCTAATGTTCGGTTGCTAGCTTATATTGTGGACATTCTTCACTGAAAACTGAATAATTGACATTTAATTCAGCACTAGACTAATTTTTCCTGTGTTGATTCCACCACAAACAATAAGCACAACTAAATAATTGACTAGTGTATGTTCTTGATTCATGATTACCATGGCATTTTGAGCAGACTAGAGCATTTTTACATTTTCCAGTTTATGGTCAAAACGTAGGCATTTGTGACATTGTCCTACAGAAATATTGTTCTTTACCGTGCAATATTTAATTGGGTACCATTTTTCGGTCAGTAAAATGAGGGGTTGGTCAGTAATTTTTTAAAAGTTTTGATCAGTTGAAAACGATCGGTAAATATATCAATTTTGGTCAGTTTTTTATGTGAAAGATCAGTTAATTTGAAAATAAATTGTCAGTTTTCAAACTTGAGGTGAAACATCCAAAATTACAAATTTCGCTCCAACACGATCTTTTTTGAGAAGGCAAATTGATGTCAATTTATCGTCAATACGATTCATTGACCGAATCAATTAGGGTTCGAATTATATAATTTATATTACATTATATTATTATATTATTCATTTATATTATATAATTATCACCATTTGTTCGTTTAAAATTTGAAATTTAAATCCAAACTTCACTTATTTATCTTTGATTCTATTCAGTTTGGTCGAATAATTCTTTAAGCTTTAAAGTTTAAGGGAACAAGCCATTTTCTACGTTTTTGTTTTCGGGGTAATTTTTTTTTCGGGATAATTTTTTTCGGGGTTTTTGTTTTCGGGATAATTTTTTTTCGGGGTAATTTTTTTTCTGGGTTTTTGTTTCGGTGTTTCGGTTTTCGGGGTTTTTGTTTTCGGGGTTTTGACCTACAACCCAATGAATGAGCTTCTTATAATGGACTGGGTGCGCTAGTTTAAATCATCTGAAGACACTGTAGGACAATTCAAAGCCATGGTTGAATTCTGTGGACATAACGATTTGTGATGACGTCCACCACAACCGCCACATTTAATATTTGATCTGCAAGCTCTAGCGATATGACCAATTTGGAAACAATATTACGACGACGAAGAGAAATCAGTTTCTGTTTACGAGATTGCACAGATCCCACATTGCAAACGGTTGGAGTATGACTTTAGTTACAAAAAAAAGCCGCTTTGTGAAAGAAAAATTGATTCGTTTTGTCAATTGATTTATTGTTTTATTGAATGATTTTTTGTTCTTTAAAAAAGGGGAAGATTTGTTGTAACATTGTATATGAATGGTCATTGCTGTATTCATTATTTTATGATGTTTGACATTGATTGAACTCAATAATAAAATTATTCGATTTTCTGCTGCCGTTCTATGCACACGTGTTAATTTTTATTTCCATCAACATCAGCATCAACATTAGCATTTATTCTTGATGATTCATACTCATCAAGAACAAGTTTTGAAGAAATTTTTACACAACCAAATTGCACCCCAAACAAAAAACCACCATCAAAACACAATAATAAAAGAAAATTAATGGAGAACGATAATGATATTTTAGAGATAATCAAAATGAATTTGGAAGGCAAAATAAAATATTCAAAGAAAACTGAAAGTATAAAACGATATTGCGAATCAATGGATAATTTGATTTCACAATTATCATATCAGAAAATTGCCGAACTACAGATTAAAATAACGGAATTTCTATTGAAAGAAGCAAAAAGTGATGAAGCAATACTATGTTGAACATTCTGTTTATGATAAAACATTGCTAAAAAAATAAAAAATAAAAAAAATTTGAATTCTGTAAATGAATATGCATAAAAAATTTGAATTGAAAATGATGTTTCATGTATAACAAATGGGAATGAAGACTTGGATTGCAACCATGGAGTGTTGCCAGTTCTCATATTTATTCCCAATTGGGAATTAGAGAACACTCCACTTTCCGCTGATCTATAATAATATTAATAGCATAAATAAACGTATGCGTATATACGTATGTAATATCCATTATCATTAACCGCGAAACTGAAATTGACAAATTCAAATACTTTGAAAAGATCATCGATCAAATAAAATGGAATAACACCGTTAATCTTAATAAGAACCTTCGATACGAATTTGATTGTGATAAAAATGAATTCATGTTAATTGATAAATGTCAATATCTTGGAAATAACGAAATATTTTTTTGAGGGGTCGAAATGTGCGTGATAAATTCTTACATTGTCTATCGTGCAATTGAAGAGCAAAATAATAAGGTGCCGATGAAACATTATAAATATGTAAAAAATCTCGTTGATCAACTAAGAGGGGATTTTAGAGAAACATGAATTCATCAGGCCACATATGCAACCGATATCAGGCTGAATAATCAGCTACATCTAATCTTTTTGGGGAAGAAAAAAAAAGATTGTATTGTCTGTTCTGACAGAAAAACGCCAGGTGAAAGAAGACAAACCTCGTATTATTGTGACACTTGTCCAACAAGCCTACGATACACATCGGTAATTGTTTCGAAATTTTCCATACAAAAAAAATTATAAATAAAATATTTATTTTTTTTGAAAATATGTTTCTCGATATCTATAAATTCATATAGTCTCGATGTCTATAAATTTATATAAACCTTACATGGCTCCAATAATATGATCTTTCATAATTGTACATTTTTGTCATAAAATAGCTTCGAGTAGCGGATGCACAACATTCGAAATAGTGCCGAGTAGCATATATGTAACTTTCGGTTTGATGCCGAGTGCAAAGGGTTAAAATTTGAAACTTGTGGTGATTGTATGATGAATAAATCTGTATCGATTCTTCATCGTACACCTATGATTTATAAAAATGTGAAACCATTTGAAAATTTACATATTGATTTATGGGAAGCACCAGTTCCATCTGTTCAAGGATGTAAATATGGTATGCTAATTGTTGATCATTATTCCCGTTTTACATTTGGTATTCATATTGTGTCAAAATCTGATGCAGTAAGTAGCTTAATCAAATTTATTGAATTTCATCACAAAAAGTTTAAACGTAAAATAAAATCAATACGTGCTGATCAACCTAGATCAAAACGTTTGAAATTTGATAAAATCGTATTGTACAAGGTATTTGCCAAACAATTGCTGCTTATTGTGGTCATTCATTTCTTGCCTGGAAGAAATTGCATTCTGGTAACTATGGAAATGATTATGCGAAAAAAACTACGCTTTTGTTGACTATTGATTATGATCAACCACTGTTTATTGTTCTCAATGTGTATGAAAAAATAATCTAATTGCGGCTATTCTTTGAAAACAAAAAAAATGTAATAAAATCGATTAAAAAAATTTCTTTTTTTGATCATATTTCATGTGGCTGGATGGATCGTGTTAGAAAAATGTTTTCCTGGATCTAGCTAGATAATTCAGTGAAGATTTTATTTTCATTCGTTCATCCGTTTACTAGATCTAATGACTTCTTTTCGTAGAATCCGGTACATGAAATTTCTCACAGTAATAGTGTTAATCTTCGTTCATTTAAAGTTTAAGGGAACAAGCCATTTTCTACGTTTTTGTTTTCGGGGTTTTTGTTTTCGGGATAATTTTTTTTCGGGATAATTTTTTTTCGGGGTTTTTGTTTTCGGGCATTTGGTTTCGGTTTTCGGGGTTTTTGTTTTCGGCGTTTTGACCTACAACCCATTCATTGTGCAATTTTTATTAACAATTTTCCGGTAACTGTTATTTATGATACGGCTTGTTCTGATAGATTATTATAATAATAATTGCCATGCGTCGCCGATCGATATATTAGTCATCAACATTTTTTGATGTTTTTTGTCGTTTTTGATGAGCTAAATTTTTCTTTCGATCATCGTTATCATTTTTAAATAAATAGTCGAGGCATGTGCTACCAATTCATTATATTGGTCTTCATCAAGTTGTTGTGATTGACAGGGCCGGCCGAGAAAATCGCGAGGCCTTGTGCAAAAATGGCTTAAAAACTTGAAGCTGCGAGGCCCTTTCCGCAACCGCGGAAAGGGCGAAAACAGCGCGAGGCCTTGTGCTGTGCACAGTTTGCACAGGCACCTCGGCCGCCCCTGGTGATTGCGAATAGATATCATTAATTTTGGTCATTGTGTTTTTTACTCTTCTTTCTTCTTTCGTATATGTTTGCCAAAAAGCCGAAAATTTTTGCTGGACATTTTCTGGGGCTGCAAAATCGGTCAATTGTTTCCTAGATATGAAATCTGAATATATGAGTTAAAAATATGAAAATAATAATAAAAATAAAATGCCCATACTTATCGAATCATTTTGTTTTTTTTTCAATTTTTTTAATTGGTTTAAAACCATTAAATACGTTTTCTATCTTCGTCAATTTGAATGTATCGTCTTAAATGAATCAAAAGTATGATTGAAACAAGATATATAAAGATAAATGATATAATTATTTACTTTCATATGATATTGACACCGTTTGATCTAAGATGTCTGGTGGATTTATTTCATCTTCGAATTGGAGCTCAATGTTTGTTTGCTCCTTATGCAATGAAACTACAAAAATCATTTAAAATACGAGTTTCAAAGTATGAATCAAAATATACTTACCATATTTACGAATTGACGATGATTCAGAGCCCTAGCTTTGATGAAGTTTATTGACCTGACCACAACCTCCATAAAATTTGTGAACTTGATGGATTTAGCACACAAATTTTGTTGATGTATAATACAATGAAAGTTGGTCAGGTTTCTCGGGCCAATTTTGTTGTTAACATTTCCAATAAACCCTTTTCGGGTTCCAATCATGGCTGGTGCACCGTCGGTGCATATTCCTGACAACAAATTCCAATCAATTGCGAATTTTTTGAAATTGAAAGAAAATTGTTTATTAAGAACATAAAACAAAAAGAGAAAGAAAATAAATGAAATTAGGACAAAGAAAATTAGGAAATATTTGACAAATACTGAATAAACCTGTTATTTGAGGTTATCAGACTTAATCAAATATGATAGCAATAAGGAAATACAAATTTAAATTAGGAAAGAAATAACACATTCAGAAAGATTGTGAAATAATTTCACAATTAAAAATTGGGACAAAAGTTCATGAGAGGACATCGGATATTACATCCCCCCACTTTAAGACGGAAAAAACAGGTGAGAAAGGAAAGAATCAAGAAAGAATAAGGGGTATGGAAACTCACTTCATCTTCAATTTCTAGAATAACCAATGGATCATCATTGCATTTTCGTTCTTGTTCCTTCATTTCTTCATTATTTTTATCGATCAATTTATAAAATTTCCCTATCAAGAAAAATGGAATAGTCGCCAATAAATTAATCAGAATATCCAAAGTTATACTCCAATATCCAATTCGATTATCATTATTAATAATGATTTTTCTTTCTGCAATCATTTCGGCTTTTATTTCATTCGTATTTTCTTTCATTACTTTTCCAATTTCAGAAACCAATTCTTTCATCAATACATTCCAATCTAATACATTTTTATCAATATCATAATTATTCATTACTCCATCCGATTGCATAGTCATTTCATTGGAGTGGAAAAATATTTTCGGATAACCACATTTAGGCTTCAAATTCGATATATTTTTTTCATCCAAAATTTTGTCATTTTGAAAATTCGATTTTATTTTAGACAATTTTGTTGACATATTTGGTTTACGAGTAGTTGTGGTTGTTGAAGTTGTAGTAGTAGTAGAAGACGATGTGGTAGTGGTAATAGAAGACAACGTGGTGGTGGTGGTGGAAGAAGACGACATAGTGGTGATGGTGGAAGTTGTTGGAGATGAAATCGGGAGAATTGTCGAGACACGAATTTTTGGAAAAAGAATTTTTTTATTCAACCTTTCACCTGATGATGGGTCTTTATCGAATAATGAAATCAAATTCTTGGAGATCGATGTTTTTTTAAGAACCAAAGATATTTCATTATTACCCATGTATTGACACTTTTCAATTATCATAAATTCATCTTTTTTACAGCCAAATTCATAACGTAAGACTTTATTGAGATTTATGGTATTATTCCACTTAATTTCATCAATTTTTTTTTCCAAAATATTTGAACACATCAGATTCAGCTTCATGAATAATAATCTTTCGGGCTTCAACAATCAATTGATTTACATCACCATCCCTTTTAGAGACAATACCATAAATTGAATTTATTTTTTCTATTCCATTTTTTCTTTGATCCATTGTATCATGGCACAATCTTTTAAGATGGTACATAGGTCCATAAACAAATTTTTGCTTGATCATGAAATCTTGACGAAAATCTTTTAACAGATCCTCATTACCATACGATGGATGAAAGAATTTTATCTTGTAATGATACCCAAAAATTGGGACGACAAAAGAAAAGATGACCAACAAGAAAATTAATTTAGATGCCATAGTAGATTAGTTCACTTCATTTACACGACGAAAACACAACTGATGATAAACTGTTGGAATTGTTGTAAGAAAGATTGAATTACTGATTAATGTCACTGTTGAGCGTATTTGATTAGTACGATCAATAGTGAACTATTTCTATAAATTAAGCATGTTTAGCAGTTATTTATAATTATTAAAAAACCGTTTAAAACCAAACTATTGAATCCATTATTATTATTGAATCATATACTTTCAAGACTCTTGCAAATTCTAATATAAACCAACGTGGCTTGAAAGATTCGTTCGTTTTTTTTTTAATTTTTTTTCTTCGTTCGATTTTCTTATTTAGAATTATTTTTAAATTCGATTTTTTTTTATTATTAACCATGACGTTTTTTTTCATTTTCGAATGTCTAAAAGTCGAATTTTTTTTCATTTTAGAATTTCAAAAAGTTGATTTTTTTTCACGAAAATCATTGTGAGCATGGGAGAAATAAAAACAAAGGAAAAAAAAATAAAATAAAAGAAAATATAGAAAATAGAGGTATAATAGAAGCAAACCGTTCATAAAATTTGTACTCATTCCAATTTTAACAATGTTTAGGGGAAAAGGGAAAAGATTTTTTTTTTATAATACAGTAATACCCCGCTTAACGCGGGGGTTACGTTACAAAAATTCTGAGCGTTAAGCGAAACAGCGCTAAGCGGGACTATTTTTACATAATGCATTTTTACCCTTCATATACAATGTAACAATGTAATGTAATGTAGGGTAATTGTACAGCGTTATATCGAATCAGCGCTAAACGGGGCAGCGTTAAGCGGGGTATTACTGTAATTGTTTTGTTAATAATAATGATTATCCTATGTACCTACCAACAAATAAAACACAGGAAATACTTACGTGTTGCTCGTGAGCAATATCATTTGGCGGTATTGAGATAATCAACGAAATTCGAAAAAAACACAACTAAAATATAAACATACAATATATAAAAAAATCATTTACTTTAAAATCAATTGGTAAAGTTGTTCGTTAAAGCTCTATCAGCTTAGTTAGTTTCCAATACTAACGTCCGTCTGTATTACTGGCCATAAAATCAATCATACGATTGATAAAATTTGCTGAAACTTTCGACCAATGCAGTTGGAACAATTTATAGTAGAACTAAGCTAAAGATTGTTCTTAACTTACATGTATTTTTTCAAAGTACTCTAATCGATCTGGAGCAATCAATTCTGAATATGATAAGAATGTGCGTTTGCTAATAATTAATAACGATTAATGATTTATCATACCTGAGACACTAATTAAGCAATGTACCATTGCTACTGGATCCCGAGAAGGACAATCTGTCATGATTCCAAGAATAGAGCTACATTACGAAAAAGACTTACCTTTTAAATTGAAACGCAGGCAATTTCCAATAAGGTTAAATTTTGCTATGACTATCAACAAAGCCCAAGGTCAGAGCTTTAACAAAGTAGGTATATGGCTAAATGATCCGATTTTTTCACATGGACAGTTGTATGTGGCACTGTCCCGAGCAAGAAGCCGAAATGGCATAAAAATAAAATCAGAGAATAACCTGATGCGCAATATCGTTTATCAGGAAGTAGCATCAAATCATCATCATTTGTAATCATTTTTTATAATTTTTTTAAGATTTATAAAATAAAATAAATTAAATCAGCTTTTTAAGCCAGGGCAGGCGCGAAGCGCCTGACCACGGCTGGTAAAATATAAGTTCACAACAAATCCAACCTAACACGCCCAGTTCAGAATTCAAAATTCACAATCGAGAAAATGACAAGTCCAAACTAACACGATCGGTTCAAAATCGAGAAAATGACAAATCCAACCTAACACGACCAGTTCAGAATTAGTGCGGATTTGATGAAAACACGTTAATTTTGCCGTGTTTGAGTGAAGAAAAATTTTTCATCTCCCCATTATGCACATGCTACATCTTTTGTGAATGCACGCTACATTTATGGTGATCCGTTACTTTGATGTGTGTGTGCAAAAAATGTAACTGTATGCAGGGCCGGCCGAGGCGCCTGTGCAGACTGTGCACCGCACAAGGCCTCGCGCTGCCTTCGCCCTTTCCGCTGTACAACACAGGGCCTCGCGGCTCCAACTTTTCAAGCTATTTTTGCACAAGGCCTCGCGATTTTCTCGGCCGGCCCTGACTGTATGAATAGATACTTTTGAATATCAAAAAAGTTCTATTCTCGAAATCGAAGCACATGGTCCATACAAGCTTTATATATTGTGATTTTCGATTTTCGATTCATTCTTTTCCACGTGGTCGTTCAGTCAACATATAATTTCATTTCAAATTTTATTAATTAAATCTTTTTTTTTAATCATTTCGTGTAGGTATTTTTTATTTTGTTTTTCTTTATTTATTAACATTCTTAAATTATAGTTTTTAATGGACACGATAAGCGAAGAAAAATATCTAAAAACTAGTGGTACTAAAAAACAAATACATCACATTGCATGCAAAATGTTGTACTTTGTTCGTCTTTTTTTAAAAGATGAATTATCAATTGATGAAGAACAAATTTACAAAACCAATTTATTGAATTACATGAAAATAGCCCAATCAAACTATTATAATGAGCTGTACATCAAAAAGACAATCATCAAAATTTATTAAACCCAAAAGATATGAACTGACATCGCATATATTGGATGGCAATAGTTTGCAAAGAAGTCGTGGCAAGATCAAACTGGATTTATATATCTTGATGATGCTGAAATCAATAAACTGTTGAGTGATCTGTGTAATCATGGCCATTAATTGATTATTGTTGTTGTTGTTATGGCTTTTCTGTTTTGTAAAAAAATTCAAAATCAAATATATATATGTCACGAATAAAAACTAATTTGGTTTTATTTCAATTTTATTAAAATGTAATATGTTACAAAAGACACGTTCGCTTCAACTACCAAGATTCAAGTGACACGTTTTTT